GCATGCACACATTTGTTTGGCAAAGCGTCTTTGGTTCTCTGTTTTTGCGTAGCTCCCTTTGATGGGTGAACATGTTGGAGCAGAGGGAGGGGAGAGGAAGCAAATAAACCAATACCACTTTGTCAAATGAACAAGCATGAACACACATGTGTGATGGCTATGCAAAAAGGAAAGAATAGCCATAGAATGAACTGTCACTCACAACCTGCCTGAGAGAGTGCCTGCTGAAGAGAGATGGAGAAAAATAAAAAGCAATGCTCTGCTCCCCATTGCAAAAAAGAAGTCAAAGAAATAGGGAGTTGGAAATTTGCATTGCTTTGATTTTGAATTTTTTTATTGTTTTTGTTGTTGGTGTTTTTTGCGTTGTGAGATTCTTCAGCTTGCGCTGTGCTTAACATAACGGTTGAACAAGTTGTGTAGGAGTTACTGTAATGACGCCGCGAGTGGTACACCTTGGTTCTATTGTCAATTTGTCGTCAAATGCTCGATGAAGTTTTGAAAATTGATGAGCCTAATTTTTTATTTTTTTGAAGATCTTCGTAAAATATTTGGAAATTTGTTGCCTTAAATGGCTCCCAAAAAATCCACAATTGTTTTAAACGTTGAACAATTCATTCGGGACGTGGAACAGCGTCCGGCAATATGGAATCGAAATTTCCATTGTAATAAGGCATTCCTGGAGCAAATGTGGGATGAGCTGTCGGCGGAACATAAACTGCCAAGTAAGTATAGCAACTACTCGAAGGAGGAGGAGGGCTATTAATTTTGTTTTTGGTTTACAGAGGTGGTCTTGAAAGCCAAATGGAAGGGTCTGCGTGATAATTTCCGTGTGGAATACAAACGTATACCCCGTGCAGATAATGGTGATTTTTTGGTTGAACCGGCCACCTTTGAATCGAAGTGGATACACTATTATGCGCTATTGTTTTTGAGTAAGTATTGGTGGACCAACTTGACAGAAGAAGCTTCTAAAATTTGTAATTTCCCCCCTTTAGCCGAACACATGCGCCATCGTGTCCCTAAAAATGAACAAGATCAGGCCTTTTTCTTTGCCCAGCAAAGTCAGGATTGCGAGAAAACAGTGGTGGAACCGGATCTCACCAATGGGCTAATACGACGCCTCCAGGACAGTGATGAAGAGTTCGATGAAGATGATGTTGAGGAGGATGATGATGAAGTTACCGAAACCACACCACCTGCTGCCCACTCCCAACCTCTTACCTCAGTGGTAAATAGTGTACCGGGAGCCGGGATCATAAAACTAGAAGATCAGCGTAAAAATTTTGATAAGGAGGTGCAGGATTTATCAAAGAAATCATTGGATAATGCTGCAGCGGCAGCAAATTTGACGCAGGCGTCAATTGCAAATCCCACAGGCCTCGTAACACCTCTACTAATGCCAATTGCAGCAACAACACCGCCACAGCAACAGGCTACCACAATATCCTCAACAACAGCCGTAAGTCCCTTGGCATTGGGTTTGAGTTTAAGCAGCCAGCAAATGGCAACAACAACAGCAATGGCTGTGACAACATCGGCTGTGGCTGGCACCACACCCTTGGCCGGCTCCTCACCCTTGGCACTACAAACGGTACCAGTTTCATCCTCATCGAATACGGCACCAGTTGCTGCCGTGGCCGCCTCATCCTCCTCATCGTTATCCTCCTGTTCGGTATCATCAGTTTCTAGTACAACCTCAAATTCACCACCCTCATCCACGGCATCGGCAGCAGGCGGGGTGCCAGCCCCCTTGACAGCTTTAAATTTATTCCAAGGTACACCGCCGGTGGCCCATAGCACAGCCTTTGCCGTGGCTGCCACCTTGGCCTCTATGAACAATGCCGCTGCCCAACTAAATGGTGGAATCTCCTCAAACAATCCACTGCCTTCGGTATTGCCATTATCCCTTACCACCAATCTGCCCAGTGCATTGGTACTACCCAATACCTGTCTACAAAACGGAGGAGGTGGCGGATCAGGCAGTGGTGGAACTGGTGGTGGTCACCAGCAAAAAATCAGATCTGTCTCCCCACCACCGCTCTACAATAAGGCCCATCATCCACCACCCAGTAGCAATAATAATGCTGCCGCCCTGGTCATGAGCAAAGAACGTTCCGATGATTTCCCCCTTAATGGGGCCAATTGTCTACATGGCAGCCATGAAAATTTAAATTTTACCAAATATTCCTACACAAATGGTCTCATACCGGCATTGAAATTAAAAAGACCAAGACTTTCGGAAGATAGTAATTTCAATGGTTCCTCATCAATGGATACGTCGACGGCCACACCCACTCCCCTGGTGCCCGAGGATGATGATTATCATTATCTGCTGTCTTTGCATCCTTATATGAAGCAACTGACAGCTGCCCAAAAGTTGAGGATTCGAACCAAAATACAAAAGTTAATATTTAAGGAACTCTACAAAGAGGATTTGGAGGAATCGAAATAAGAGGAGGAGGAGTGGGACATTCATTCTTAACAAAATGAAGAAAAGGAAAATCGTAAAACCAAAGTCATTACTTTTTAAAATCGATAATATATAATATGAAGGATTTGAAAAATGAAATCCCAGATATAAGGGATTTTAATTTTTATCTCAATTAATTGTTTGTATGTATATGTATGTGCCAAAACATATCTAGCCTTAAACATTGTAATTCCTTATACATATATTTAAATCATATAGCAGACCTATGATGATTGCATTGTATATATAAATATTATTCTTTAATATATATAGTTCCTTTTTAACAGGAAACATAACCTATTTTCCTGATCCTTTAATGTAAAACAAAACATAAGAAACTACTTGAATTATCTACTTAGTTTTGTTTTTTATTAAATTTAAAACAATTTATGTTATCATTATGTTTGAAAATCTCAGAATATCTCAGCATTTATTTTATTTTTATTATTCTTTATTATTATATAGTTTTATATATACATAATATGTTTTATAACTTTTCTTAAAAATATAAATGTATTTCTAGGTTTAGTTACCACTCAAAAAACTTTGTAGAAACCCCTTACCAACAACAACAAAGCATTTATTATTATATGAACACCTACACAAACAAATACTACATGTATCTCAAATTTAGTTTATAAATGTCTTAAGACTCTAAGAATTCTATTCAAAATAAAAAAATCAAAGAGAGAATTATATAAAATACTGGTTTTTATAGATGATTTAATTTTAAGATTAATTGTAATTAATTTTTAAGATTATGTATTTCCGGGTTTTATATTATAGCTAGGCGTTTCTCATGTTCGATGACTTAAAGTGAAATTTTATGGAGAATATTTCTTCCATTAGTACCATAGCCCTAAAATGTTTTCTATAGCAAAAATCACCTCCATTTGGAAAATACTAAAAACTCACCTAAAAAAACATATTTCCTACAACCCAATTTGTTTACTAATATTTCCGAGTTTAATATTATAGCTAGGTGTCTCTCATGTTCGGTGACCTATAGTGAAATTTTATGGAGAATATTTCTTCCATTGGTATCATACCGCTAAAATGTATTCTATAGCAAGAAATAACCTCCAGTTAGAAAATACTAAAAACTAATCCCCATAACTAGCCTATTTTCTATAACCAAATTTGTTTACTGATATTTCCGGGTTTTATATTATAGCTAGGCGTTTCTTATGTTCGGTGACTTATAGTGCAATTTTATGGAGAATATTTCTTTCATTGGTATCATAGCCCTAAAATGTATTCTATAGCAAGAAATAACCTCCTGTTAAAAATACTAAAAAACGATTCCCCAAAAACAGCCTATTTTCTATCAACCAATTTGTTTACTGATATTTCCGGGTTTTATATTATAGCTAGGCGTTTCTCATGTTCGGTGACTTATAGTGCAATTTTATGGAGAATATTTCTTTCATTGGTATCATAGCCCTAAAATGTGGAATTTTGCAAAAAATCACCTCCTATTGAAAAATACTAAAAACTAATCCCCAAAAATAGCCTATTTTCTATAATCCAATCTGTTTACTGATATTTTCGGGTTTTATATTATAGCTAGGTGTTTCTCATGTTCAGTGACTTATAGTCCAATTTTATGGAGAATATTTCTTCCATTGGTATCATAGCCCTAAAATGTATTCTATAGCAAGAAATAACCTCCTGTTGAAAAATACTAAAAACTAACCCGAAAAATAACCTATTTTCTACACTGAACTTTTGAGATATCCTTCTTCCTAACGAAGAGCAGCAGGTATTCTTCTTTTGGAGATTGGTTTCCGATGAGAAGACAATTTTTTTCCTCTATTTTTTCGGAATCAAAATTGAGATAAAATATTTTTAAACAACTTGAAATGTCATTCTTAGCATTATTTACATAAAATTCCGCAATTTCCAAGGTGTGGTGAGTTTGGAGAAAAATTCACAACACGTTAAAAAATATGTCAAATGAAAGGAAACGTCCACTAGTCTATGGAATAGTTTCTAAGATTGCATTTTTATTAAAAAATCCTGAGAAAAATTAAAAAAATTGAATATTTTTGTAATTTTTTATGATTTTTTTCTGAGTCAAAATTGAATTAAAATAATTTTAAACGCCATGAAATGGTATTATTAACATTATTTACGTAAAATTACGCAATTTTCAAGGTGTGGTGAGTTTGGAGAGAAATTCACCACACCTTCAACAATGTGCCAAATGAAAGAAAACTTCCAACAGACCATGAAAAAATGTCACAAGTTGCATTTTTAGAAAAAATCATTCCAACATTTTTGACCATGAAAATTCAACACCTTAATTTTTTTAAAAATTTTCACATTTGAGGTTATGTTTGTTTTGTAGATTTTTTTCAATGATTTTTTTAAATTATTTTTTTTTAACTCAATTGAATTTGAATTTCCTTACCTTGCCAAAGACCACAGCATATTTCATTACACTGGGCCTAAAAGTAGGCAACACAATTTAGAATTTATAATAATATGTTTTCTATCTCTCCTTTCTCCTCCCCCTTCTTCTCTCCAGGTGAAGTCTATGTCCTGGATGATGGCGGTGAAGTCGATTTGGATTTAGGCAACTATGAACGTTTCCTGGATGTCACGCTGCACCGTGACAACAACATTACCACGGGTAAAATCTATCAATTGGTGATTGAAAAGGAACGCAAGGGTGAATATTTGGGCAAGACTGTGCAAGGTAAAAATTACAAAAGATTTTATTGATCCGAAATATTTAATAACAGATTTTTTCTCTTTTTCCAGTCGTCCCCCACATCACCGATGCCATACAGGAATGGGTTGAACGCGTTGCCGAAACCCCTGTCCGTGGTGATTCCAAACCCCAGGTGTGCATTATCGAATTGGGTGGCACCATTGGTGACATAGAGGGTATGCCTTTCGTCGAAGCTTTCCGTCAATTCCAATTTCGTGTAAAACGTGAAAATTTCTGTTGTGCTCATGTCTCCCTGGTACCTTCACCCTCATCGACGGGTGAACCAAAAACTAAACCCACACAAAGTTCAGTGCGGGAGTTGAGAGGTTTTGGTTTAAGTCCTGATTTAATTGTATGCCGTTCAGAGAAACCTATTGGTTCAGAGGTTAAGGAGAAAATTTCGAATTTCTGTCATGTGGCACCCGATCAGGTCATTTGTATACATGATTTGAGTTCCATTTACCACGTTCCACTGCTGATGGAACAAAACGGGGTGATTGAGTTCTTAAATGAGCGTTTGCAGTTGAACATACAACCTAGCAAGAGAGAAAAGTGAGTGGGAAAAACATTTTGAAGTTATGTGTGGCTAATTTAATTTTCATTTTTAGATGCCTACAAAAATGGAAGGACCTGGCCCGCCGTTCAGAAACCTTACGCAAAACTGTCAACATTGCCTTGGTGGGCAAATACACCAAATTCAAGGATTCCTATGCCTCGGTGATCAAGGCTTTGCAACATGCCGCCCTGGCTGTGGGCTATAATCTCAATTTGAACTTCATTGATTCCAGCCTGCTTGAAAATGAAACCCTGCAGGATGCCCCTTCCAAATACCACAAAGAATGGCAGCTGTTGTGTGAAAGTGATGGTGTCCTCGTTCCCGGTGGTTTTGGTTCCCGTGGCATTGAGGGCAAAATTAAGGCTTGTAAATGGTGTCGTGAAAATCGCAAACCCTTCCTGGGTATCTGTTTGGGTCTGCAGGCTGCTGTTATTGAATTTGCCCGCAATGTTTTGGGCCTGGAGGATGCCAATACCACAGAAATTAACCCTAAGACATCGAATCCCTTGGTAATTGATATGCCGGAACATCACACAGGACAAATGGGTGGTACCATGCGTTTGGGTAAACGTACCACAATCTTCTCGGAGGAGCCAAGCATTATTAAGCAATTGTATGGAAATCCCAAGAGTGTAGATGAACGTCATCGACATCGTTATGAAGTCAATCCCAAATATGTACCCCAATTGGAGGAGCAAGGTTTGCGCTTCGTGGGCTGTGATGATACCAAGCAGCGTATGGAGGTTATTGAGCTGAGAAATCATCCCTATTATGTGGGTACACAATACCATCCGGAATATTTGTCACGCCCTCTGAAACCCTCACCCCCATTTTTGGGTTTAATATTGGCTTCCGTGGGACGTTTGCCGAATTACATTGCCCGAGGATGTCGTCTATCGCCTCGGCAACAATCCGATGCTTCTTCGGATGAAGATGATTTACAAATTACGGCAAAAATAAATAATTTGAAATTAAATGGAACCGGCAGCAGCACTTTCCTTACACCCAATGGTCGAGGAGCGGCGGAATTGTTTTTAAATGGTGGTGGTGGCACCACCTCAGCTGAGGCTTCGGATACAGAAATGGGTAGCAAAACTCCTCTGAATGGTGGTCTTTAAAGGGACGCGGGAGGGGGAAGAGAAAACACCAACACACAGACACACACAAATTGCTACAGAAATACAAAAATAAAATGTTGTAATTGTTAGGTAATAAGATATCGAAAAAAGGCAAAAACAAAAAAGAATGTCTAGTGTTGTTTAAAACTTTAATACCTTCCTCCACACATAAGACTGCTGGATTAGTAGAGGTATTAAGGCCAACAAAAATACTACTCGTTTAAAACAATTTGTCAAAAAAAAGATGCTTTAGTGTGTAAGTTACATAAAATAGTTAACCAAAAACACACACATACTGACAGACAGACAAAATGTATGATGGTTCAAAACTAAGAAAAGAATTTCCGTGTTTATTTTGTATGAAAATATTTTTCTTACACCATTGAAAAATGGTGTGTAAAAAAATGTGATTAGGCAAACCAACACACACACAGCACTAGTTAAAAAACTACAGCAACAAAATATTTCCAATCTCTCTCTTTGTCTTCTTTTTTTTTAATAATAAATTTAAAATATTGTATTGCTTATAGCAGGATTTTTTTGAAAATATATCTATACATATTATTAATGCTAATTCATAATTTTTATTATGAAACAAAAAATTAAACTACAAAATCGTCTATAAAATTTTATCTCTTTAAACAAAGCGAATAAAGAAAAAATTGAAAATTCTCTTGAAAGAAAAAACAAAATGAACAAAAAATATTTATTTTGGTTAAGAAGAAAATACTAAATATTGTGGGTGAAATAATAATATATACATTTTGAAAATTATTTTTTTCGGGACTTTTAAAAGTATTCACTTCTTAACAAAATATTTTTTCCAAGGACTATCATAATCGTGTATAATAAAATGAATATTAATATTAGGGATCTCAGATAAAAAATTCTGTAAAAGTGACGAATTTTTTTTAAAAATTAGGCTTTTTAGAAAAAAATATTGGTAAAAGTGGCGAATTTTTTAAAAATATTTTATAATTTTATATTATATATTTTATAATATTTTAATATTTTATAATTTTATTTTATAGAAAATAGTCTATTTTTGGGGATTTGTTTTTAGTATTTTTCAATAGGAGGTGATTTTTTGCGGAATTCTACATTTTAGGGCTATGATACCAATGGAAGAAATATTCTTCATAAAATTCCACTATTTGCCACCGAACATGAGAAACGCCTAGCTATAATATAAAACCCGGAAATATCAGTAAACAAGTTGGGTTATAAAAAATTGCTATTTTTGGGGATTAGTTTTTAGTATTTTCTAACTGGAGGTGATTTTTGCTCTAGAATATATTTTAGGGGTATGATACCAATGGAAGAAATATTCTCCACAAAATTGCACTATAAGTCACCGAACATGAGAAACGCCTAGCTATAGATTAAAACCTGGAAATATCAGTAGACAAATTGGTTTATAGAAAATAGGCTATTTTTGGCGATTAGTTTTTAGTATTTTTCAATAGGAGGTGATTTTTTGCAGAATTGTACATTTTAGGGGTATGATACCAATGGAAGAAATATTCTCCATAAAATTCCACTATTTGCCACCGAACATGAGAAACGCCTAGCTATAATATAAAACCCGGAAATATTAGTAAACAAATTGGGTTATAGGAAATAGGTTTTTTAAGTTAGTTTTTAGTATTTTTCAACTGGAGGTGATTTTTGCTCTAGAATATATTTTAGGGGTATGATACCAATGGAAGAAATATTCTCCATAAAATTTCACTATAAGTCACCGAACACGAGAAACGCCTAGCTATAGATTAAAACCTGGAAGTATTAGTAAACAAACTGGGTTATAGAAAATAGGCTATTTTTGGGGATTAGTTTTTAGTATTTTTCAATAGTAGGTGATTTTTTGCGGAATTCTACATTTTAGGGCTATGATACCAATAGAAGAAATATTCTTCATAAAATTCCACTATTTGCCACCGAACATGAAAAACGCCTAGCTATAATATAAAACCCGGAAATATCATTAAACAAGTTGGGTTATAAAAAATTGCTATTTTTGGGGATTAGTTTTTAGTATTTTCTAACTGGAGGTGATTTTTGCTCTAGAATATATTTTAGGGGTATGATACCAATGGAAGAAATATTCTCCATAAAATTTCACTATAAGTCACCGAACACGAGAAACGCCTAGCTATAGATTAAAACCTGGAAATATCAGTAAACAAATTGGGTTATAGAAAATAGGCTATTTTTGGGGATTAGTTTTTAGTATTTTTCAGCAGGAGGTTATTTCTTGCTATAGAATACATTTTAGGGGTATGATACCAATGGAAGAAATATTCTCCATAAAATTCCACTATATGCCACCGAACACGAGAAACGCCTAGCTATAGATTAAAACCTGGAAATATCAGTAAACAAATTGGGTTATAGAAAATAGGCTATTTTTGGGGATTAGTTTTTAGTAATTTTCAGCAGGAGGTTATTTTTTGCTATAGAATACATTTTAGGGGTATGATACCAATGGAAGAAATATTCTCCATAAAATTCCACTATATGCCACCGAACATGAGAAACGCATAGCTATAAATTAAAACCTGGAAATATCAGTAACAAGTTGCGTTATAAAAAAGTTGCTATTTTTGGGGATTAGTTTTTAATATTTTCAAATAGGTGGTGATTTCTTGCTATAGAAAACATTTTAGGGGTATGGTACTAATGGAAGAAATATTCTCCATAAAATTCCACTATATGCCACCGAACATGAGAAACGCCTAGCTATAATATAAAACCCGGAAATATTAGTAAACTAATTGGGTTATAGAAAATAGACTATTTTTGGGGATTAGTTTTTAGTATTTTTCAATAGGAGGTGTTTTTTTGCGGAATTCTAAATTTTAGGGGTATGATACCAATGAAAGAAATATTCTCCATAAAATTTCACTATAAGCCACTGAAAATTCGTTATCGTAGTAGAAAGTAGTAGACTTTTGCAGTACGGGAACATACCAAATGGTAACTCTCATTTTTATAAAATCTGTCCCTAACTGACAAGAACACACCGATTAAAAAATTGTAATTTGAACTCTTTTTCACAAAAACAAATCAATAGAATCCTTAGTGGTCACTGTTTCTGCAAGAGCACTTTAGCTAAAATGAATGTGGCACCAGATAATTTATGCGAGGACTGCGGAGAAGCCGAAACGGCCGCACATATATTCCTTGGATGTCGTAAATTTAATAATACAAGGAGATGCTTTCAGGAACTTTGTGATTTCTCCACACTTGAGGATTTCACAAATTCACTAGGCTTAGAAAGTTTGAACATTGTGGTAAAATTCCCGACAGAAATTGGAGTCGATCCATGAATACGAAACATAAATCACCACCATTGGAGAAAGTTAAATATGTACCTTAGCTGCTCATGGATACATGGCTCTGTACATTCTAACTTTTAGTAGGACGTGAGTCAGGAGGGAGAGATGTTAATAAGGAAAAAAACTACCTCAGGGAGGTCACCGGTTTTTTCTTTAGATATATAATTTTTTATTCCCATTTATTCAATCACACAAAATCCCTACTATAGCGCCATCTCTTTGACAAAAATGTTACTATTTCACACAGACAGTATGAATATGGCAACACAACGAAACAGCTGTGTTTTGTTTTGTTTTGATTGCTCACATGTTGTGCTGCTCTACAGCTGTCGCTGCTGCCGCAGCGCTGCCATCAACTCTGCTAACAGACAGGCATTTCCCTTCAAGTGACGCAAGTTATCAAACAAAATATTAAAATTTTCTATGAAAATTGGAAAATATTCCAAAAATTATTAAAGAAAAATAGAATACAACTAAAGGCAACATGAATTTGAATAAAATTCTACAAAATCTACCATGGCAGAGGGTGAAAAATGTACGAATAAATTTACGAAGTCTTTCAACCCAAACGACACACAGAACAAAGGAATCACCAACGACGCACACCATTGAAGAGGAAAAGGAGGTAAGGATTTGAAATTTCCATTCAATACAGATTCCAAATAAGAAATTTCCCCCCACATTTAGAATGCCAAATATCCTCGAAAAATCTTTTCTGGCATACAACCCACCGGCCAACTGCATTTGGGTAACTATTTGGGAGCTGTCCAAAAGTGGGCACAACTGCAGAACAGTGGTGATGATGTTACCTATTGCATAGTCGATATGCATTCCATAACAATACCAAAGGTGGGTGGTCGGATTTTTTCGAATTTGAAATATTGAAATTTAAAATTGAAATCTTTTCTAATTAGAATCCTGCAGTTTTACGTGAAAATATTTTCGAAATGGCTGCCACCATGTTGGCGTGTGGTTTGGATCCCGAGAAATCGACAATTTTCGTACAATCCTCAGTGCAGGAGCACACAGAATTGGGTTGGATATTAAGTTGTCTATGCACCATGCCGCGGCTGGGCCATTTGCCGCAGTATAAAGAGAAATCACGGCAGGTCAAGGATGTCCCGTTGGGTCTATATGTTTATCCAGTATTGCAGGCTGCCGATATTATGTTGTATAAGTAAGTAGAAGAACTTCCAGAGGCCTTGAAATTTTATCTATAGATTTTTTATAGAAAAAACGACCTCCGGGAGGTCTTGCGATTTTTTTCTATAGAAAAAACGACCTCCGGGAGGTCTTGCGATTTTTTTCTATAGAAAAAACGACCTCCGGGAGGTCTTGCGATTTTTTTCTATAGAAAAAACGACCTCCGGGAGGTCTTGCGATTTTTTTCTATAGAAAAAAAACGACCTCCGGGAGGTCTTGCGATTTTTTTCTATAGAAAAAAAACGACCTCCGGGAGGTCTTGCGATTTTTTTCTATAGAAAAAAAACGACCTCCGGGAGGTCTTGCGATTTTTTTCTATAGAAAAAACGACCTCCGGGAGGTCTTGCGAATTTTTTCTAAAGAAAAAATAGACCTCAGGGAGGTTTTGCGATTTATTTCTATATAGAAAAAAGACCCCAGGGAGGTCCAGAGATGTTTTCTATATAAATAAAAGACCTCCGGGAGGTCTAGCGATTTTTTCTATAGAAAAAAGACCTCAGGGAGGTTTGGGGATTTTTTTCTATAGAAAAAAAATGAACTCCGAATTTACTCTATTGAAAAAAAGACCTTCTTGAGGTCTCCGATTTTTTTCTTTGATTACTTATCATTTCATTTTTTATTCCAGAGCCACCCATGTCCCCGTTGGTGAAGATCAGCTGCAACACATCCAGTTAACCCAACATTTATCCCGCATCTTCAATACGAAATTCGGGCAAACCTTCCCAATTTGTCATGCCATGATCGATAATCATGATGGTGCCCGCATTCGATCCCTACGCAATCCCACAAAGAAAATGTCCAAATCTGATTTGGACACGAAAGCCACAATAAATATACGCGATGCTCCCGAAGTTATTGTGGAAAAAATTAAAAAAGCTGTTACCGATTTCACCTCCGATGTAACCTATGAACCCGAAGCCAGACCTGGTGTTTCGAATTTAATTGTTATCCATTCAATGGTTAGTGGAACACCAATTGAAAAGGTGGTGGAGGAGGCTCGTTCCATTGATACTGGACGTTATAAGTTAAGGGTAGCTGAGGCAGTGGTCGAACATTTGAAACCCATTCGTTTGGCGATCGATGATCATTTGGTGAGGAAGGAAGAATTAATTTATTTGTTAGAGACGGGGGCGGAGAAGGCCCGCCAGGTGGCTCAACAAAATATTGTAGAGGTTAAGGAGAAAATGGGTTTGGGTATTTATCGGAATATTCCACAGTCCATAGATATGTCGGCGGAGTTATTGAATGTCTTGCCCAAGGATAAGAAAACAACGGCGGAGAAGGCGAAAAAGGATAAGGAGGGAGGAGCGGATGGACCGGTGGTGCCGAAACAAAAACTGCGTGTAGAAAAGAAGTCGGGGCAACAGAATTTGGCACCTAGTTTTAAATTGGAGGACTCACAAGCACCAACACCTTCCGTGGCGAAAAAGGTGCAATAATTGGGGTATCTGTCGTCCCACTTTCTCTCAAATTCTTAGTTAATGGAAGTTTGGACTTCCCATCGCTTCGTTCCTGCCTAGTCTTAACCCCCAAATAAATCAATTTTAAATTAAGCTCTCAATTTATTTTTATTTTGAAACATTTTTCCAGATCTTAGTTGTGGTTGTTATCATTCGCGATGCTGCATTTAACGTAACGCTGGAAATTGCAAACCATTTTCGTCTCATCGAAATAGAGGCCACTGGGACATTTAAATTCAAGGCTACGTTCCGTCAGGCATGCATGGAATTTACTGCAATCGTTGGGATCACGTACCAGGGTGCCATAGGTTTGGCCAACACAGACCGGATGTAGTCGAGGCAAGGAATAACCTTCCGGGGTTTCTATTCTGGCCTTCAATAGGGGAGCCTGTCTTGGAGATATTCTAACTGGTAGAAGTTCCTCTTCTTGTCTAGCCTTTAGTGGGCAGGGAGGAGTAGTGGTTGGTGAAGGAGTTGTTGTATCACAGGGAGATTTGGCCGGGGTGGTGGTGGTTGTTGGGGGTACATTGCAAGGTGTTGTGGTTGGCGGATTTGTGTGGCATGTCGTTGTGGATTCAGAGGTCGTGGTAGAATCTGTTGAGGGTCCTGTGGTGGTGGATTCAGTTGAGGGTCCTGTAGTTGTGGTTGGAGGATTTGGGTGACATGTCGTTGTTGTCGTGGATTCAGAGGTCGTGGTAGAATCAGTTGAGGGTCCTGAGGTGGTGGTAGATTCAGTTGAGGGTCCTGTGGTGGTGGATTCAGTTGAGGGTCCTGTGGTTGTGGATTCAGTTGAAGGTCCTGTGGTTGTGGATTCAGTTGAAGGTCCTGTAGTTGTGGTTGCCGGATTTGGGTGACATGTCGTTGTTGTCGTAGATTCAGAGGTCGTGGTAGAATCAGTTGAGGGTCCTGTGGTGGTGGTAGATTCAGTTGAGGGTCCTGTGGTGGTGGATTCAGTTGAGGGTCCTGTGGTTGTGGATTCAGTTGAAGGTCCTGTAGTTGGTGAAGGAGTTGTTGTATCACAGGGAGATTTGGCCGGGGTGGTGGTGGTTGTTGGGGGTAAATTGCAAGGTGTTGTGGTTGGCGGATTTGTGTGGCATGTCGTTGTGGATTCAGAGGTCGTGGTAGAATCTGTTGAGGGTCCTGTGGTGGTGGATTCAGTTGAGGGTCCTGTAGTTGTGGTTGGCGGATTTGGGTGACATGTCGTTGTTGTCGTAGATTCAGAGGTCGTGGTAGAATCAGTTGAGGGTCCTGAGGTGGTGGTAGATTCAGTTGAGGGTCCTGTGGTGGTGGTAGATTCAGTTGAGGGTCCTGTGGTGGTGGATTCAGTTGAGGGTCCTGTGGTTGTGGATTCAGTTGAAGGTCCTGTGGTTGTGGTTGCCGGATTTGGGTGACATGTCGTTGTTGTCGTAGATTCAGAGGTCGTGGTAGAATCAGTTGAGGGTCCTGTGGTGGTGGATTCAGTTGAGGGTCCTGTGGTTGTGGATTCAGTTGAAGGTCCTGTAGTTGGTGAAGGAGTTGTTGTATCACAGGGAGATTTGGCCGGGGTGGTGGTGGTTGTTGGGGGTAAATTGCAAGGTGTTGTGGTTGGCGGATTTGTGTGGCATGTCGTTGTAGATTCAGAGGTCGTGGTAGAATCTGTTGAGGGTCCTGTGGTGGTGGATTCAGTTGAGGGTCCTGTAGTTGTGGTTGGCGGATTTGGGTGACATGTCGTTGTTGTCGTAGATTCAGAGGTCGTGGTAGAATCAGTTGAGGGTCCTGTGGTGGTGGATTCAGTTGAGGGTCCTGTAGTTGTGGTTGGCGGATTTGGGTGACATGTCGTTGTTGTCGTAGATTCAGAGGTCGTGGTAGAATCTGTTGAGGGTCCTGTGGTGGTGGATTCAGTTGAGGGTCCTGTAGTTGTGGTTGGCGGATTTGGGTGACATGTCGTTGTTGTCGTGGATTCAGAGGTCGTGGTAGAATCTGTTGAGGGTCCTGTGGTGGTGGATTCAGTTGAGGGTCCTGTGGTGGTGGATTCAGTTGACGGTCCTGTAGTTGTGGTTGGCGGATTTGGGTGACATGTCGTTGTTGTCGTGGATTCAGAGGTCGTGGTAGAATCTGTTGAGGGTCCTGAGGTGGTGGTGGATTCAGTTGAGGGTCCTGTAGTGGTGGATTCAGTTGAGGGTCCTGTAGTTGTGGTTGGCGGATTTGGGTGACATGTCGTTGTTGTCGTGGATTCAGAGGTCGTGGTAGAATCTGTTGAGGGTCCTGTGGTGGTGGATTCAGTTGAGGGTCCTGTGGTTGTTGATTCAGTTGACGGTCCTGTAGTTGTGGTAGGCGGATTTGGGTGACATGTCGTTGTTGTCGTGGATTCAGTGGTCGTGGTAGAATCTGTTGAAGGTCCTGTGGTGGTAGATTCTGTTGAGGGTCCTGTGGTGGTGGATTCAGTTGAGGGTCCTGTGGTTGTGGATTCAGTTGAGGGTCCTGTAGTGGTGGATTCAGTTGATGGTCCTGTTGTTGTGGTTGGCGGATTTGGATGACATGTCGTTGTTGTCGTGGATTCAGAGGTCGTGGTAGAATCTGTTGAGGGTCCTGTGGTTGTGCTAGATTCAGTTGAGGATCCTGTAGTTGTGGTTGGCGAATTTGGATGACATGTCGTCGTCGTTGTTGTTGTAGGTACATGACACGGAGTTGTTGTAGTTTCTACAGGATGACATGGTTTCTTAGTAGTTGTCGTAGTTTTACAATCCCCAGCTGGGGGTGGTGGTGTTGTGGTCTCTACATTTCCACAATCTGTTGTTGCGGCCTTCTTTTCCTCGACATATTCCAACAATCTCAATGCCATTCGTCTCAGCTGGACACATTTAACCAAACCGGCCATATTACACATCCTCGCCTGGGCATCGTAGAACAAGCCCTGGGGGCAGCGTTGGCGATAACGTTGACCCTGATAGCATATGTAATAGTGCGAACAACTTCGTGGATCTGTTAAATATGCACCATCCGATTGTTGGCGACAATCGACGTTGTTATTTAGAGGTTGCCTGGCAATTACTATCACTGGTCCAATGATCAGTAATGACCACAAAAGATTTACTATGAAGGTAGTGCGGCAAAAGAGGATGAGCGGAATGAAAAGAAAGAAAAAAAGGATATTTAATAGATTGTAATTTAAAAAATTCGAAATAACTTACTGCCCTTCATTGCTCTGTAGACATCAACTTTTGTATGTGCGACTGCTTGTTGCTATTAGTCGAATGGCCTAGAGCCTATTTATTTATATAGAGCCCTGCCCTGAGCCATCTCGATATTTTCTGCAATTTTATCTGCATTTTGTAATGTTTTCTAATTTTTTGTTTTGTTGTAAAATTAATTATTAATTTACAAGACATAATGATTGTGTATTTCTTCTTTTTGTTATTATTGTTGTTTGTTTTGTTGGCAGGTGATTGCAGACGTTGTAATAGATTTTTTTTATCACGATCCAATGTGTGTCTAGTTCCATCATGTACCGGAAAGTTGATATATCTGCTACTTTATTACACAAGGCAGACATGGTTTGTCGAGGAGGTCTATATAGGGGTGAGGGGGTGTAATTCTTTTTAAAATTGAATCAATCAAATATACGAGGTCAGTATTAAATCATCTGAAGTTTTCGAAAAAAAACTGATAATAGTTCTGCAAAAAATATAGTCTATTTAGTCTATTGCGAACATCCAACGTCAACCTTATGGGCCACTTAAGCAAAAAACCTCTACAAATACTCCTGAGGGACTTTTATTTTTAAGAGAAAAAAACTTCTTCGAATCAACAATTCCTGGAGTCTGCAATAAAAAAAAAACAGCACAGCTATATATTTTTCTATTTTTGTTTTTATTATTTTTGAAGAAAAAATCCTGGAGTCCTCAAAAAAGGCAGCTGCTTTAAATATTTTTCAAAATTGATTCCAAAAAATATTTTATTTTTCATAGTGACTTAGTCTATTTTTTCGAAACTATTAAGAATTTCCATCCCTCATCTTACTTAAAAAAGGGAGTTTCTTATTTTCCGTTTGGGCTGGTCCATATTTTCAAAAAAAAAAAAAAAAAAATCTTTAGCTACATATTTTTTTTATATTTTTGACTTAGTCTATTTACCGTTTGAATCGTTGCAGACCAAAAAAAAAATCCCATTGTTGAATCGTCAATTAAAAAAATTATCAAAAAAAAAAAATTTTTATATTTCTGACTTAGTCCATTTTTTGTTCCCCCCTTTAAAATGAACTTCTGATAAACAGAAGATTTTCAAAAAAAAAAAAAAAAAAATAATAAAAATGTTACAAATATTTATATTTCCGATATTTAAAAAAAATCATATATTTGACTTAGTCTATTTTTGTCAAGTGATTTTTTTTGTAATTTTTGACTTAGTCCAATTATCTTAAAAAAAATAAAAATATTTTTTTGACTTAGTCTTTTTTCCGTTTTACCATTTGAAGTACAAACACTCTTTATATTTTTGACTTAGTATATTTTCCTATGAGTTTATCAAAATATTTTTTTATTAAATTTTTCATATTTTTGACTTAGTCCATTTTTCCTTTTTATTTGCTAAAAAATACTTTTATTTTTAATTTTTGACTTAGTCCATTTTTTCTTAAACAAGCTATCATCCAATTTTTTTATATTTTTCAAATATTTGACTTAGTCTATTTTTTCTTTTTTCAGCTGAAAAAAAGAAAAATTATTTGATTTTTCATTTTTTTTTCTAATGAAAATTATTTATTTAATTTTTTTTTTCTAAAAAATATTTTTTTGATAATTTTTTTCAATAAATTTTCAAAAATGATTTTTTATCTTTATTAAATTTTTCATATTTTTGGCTTAGTCTATTTTTCCTTTTTATCTGCTGAAAACAATATTTTATTTTTAATTTTTGACTTAGTCCATTTTTTCTTAAACAAGCTATTTTCCAAAATATTTTTTTTATATTTTTCATATATTTGACTTAGTCTATTTGTCTACTTTTTCCTTTTTTCAAGAAATAAAAAATGCGCAGATCATGACAAGGGCAAACCATATAACCGGCCCCATATTTACCGGTGTTATTTATCTCTCTCTCTCTCTGCTACAAAATATAATTATTGTTGTACATTCATCATTCCTGAAAAACATTTTTTATATTTCTTACTTAGTCTATTTTTTTATTTTAACCAATACAATAACCTGCCATTTTTAATATTTTTTTATTCAAAAAATTAATATTTTGTTTTCCTTTTTAATTTTCTACATAGTCTATTTCCATCCATTAAACAACAACCTGTCATCATTGTCAGGTGAGTTTTAAAAGAAACTCAAATGCACAGCCAAATAAAAATAACCGTTTTGTTTGTGTGATATATGCAAAAGAGAGATGCGAATCAAAATATTAACGGCGGCTCTGTATTTCCCCATGTTATGCTCCCACACAACACACTCTCTCTCATTCTTTGCATGCACATGCCAAACTCTTATAAAATCTCTGTCCCCCCAATCATATTGGTTGTTGTTGTTGATTTGCTGCATTTCTTTGTTTTTATCCAGTGGTTGTGTTGTGAGAGAGGCCCCCACAACAGAGTATGTGCGTGTGTGTGCGTTCGTGCGGCACATGAAAGAGTGTATGAGAGTGAGAGCGCTCTACTACTGCACCACTCAATGTAATTATGATGTTATTGCTGGCAGCAGCAGCAGAGTGTCGGCATTTTGTGTTAGTTCACCGTGTGATTTCAAAACGTTAGCATTGTCGGTAAAACGAAAAGTACGCGCAACGTCTTTTTTGTCGTGTAAAATTGTTGGTTGTTTAATAAAGAAAAAAAAATTGTGAACACGGCTGTATATATTTCGTTTTTGGCCCGTTTGTTTCTTTTTTTCTTCGATTATTTTGCTTTGAGTTTTATGTTTTCACGACGTGTTGTGGAGTTAAAACAACCGTAGAAGAAGAAGCAGAAAAAATATATATAAAACGTAAGCTACGACAAAGGCTTAAACCCTACCTACATAATCGAAATAAACCAAATAGAGTGTTAAGAAAATAAAATACAAAAAGGAAAACGAAAAAAATAAAACAACAACAACCACCATAATCGCTACGTTACCAAGTTGTTTCAGAAAAAAGGCTAAAATAAAATACGGAGGGGAAAAATTTACAAAAAATAAAAACAAATTTTGAAGAAAAAAAACAACAACAATTGTAAATAATTGAGAAATTAAATTAAAACAACAAGAAAAAAATATAATTTCGGGGGGAAAGTGTTGTGAAATGAGAAAACAAACGTGAAAAATTAAGGTAATTTTTCTGAAAAAAAAAATCGGTGGAGAAAATATTTTTAATAAATTGTGCTGAAATAAATAAAAAAACGCTTTCTTACAATAATAAATAATAAAAATCTAAGTGCAAAGGTAAAAAAATAAAGACTATTTTCAAAACAAAAATAAATTGAGGTGGTCCATGAAAGGGAGTTGTTAACACAATATTAAAAAGAAAAAATATTTCAAAATATTAGAAAAATTTAAAGAAAAAACTATTAAAAAACGAAAAATTAATAAAAATAGTGAAGAGAAAAATGAATCGAACATCGAAAAAATAATATTTTTTTATTTAAAAATACAATACAATAAAAATACAATAAAAAATAATTTTTAAAAATTGACAAAAAATATTTTTTTGTTTTTAAATTTAAAAAAAATTGTTTTTGAAAGTAGCCGGACTTAATCCCAGTTTGTTGTTTTTATAAAAAATTATTTTTTTTTTCAAATTAAAAAAAAATATTTTTTAAAGAATATAATTTTTAAAAAACTAAAAAAGTGGATATACAAATTAAGAAAAATAATTAAAAAAAACATTGTGTTGTAAAATTTAGACAAACATTTAAAACTATTTTTTTTAATAAAAAAGTGTTTTTTTACTAAAAAATAGTAATTTTTTTACTAAAAAAAGTAGTATTTTTTTACTAAAAAAATATTATTTTTTACTAAAAAAATAGTATTTTTTACTAAAAAAATAATTATTTTTACTAAAGAAATAGTATTTTTTAATAAAAAATAGCAATTTTTGTACTAAAATATAGTATTTTTTTTACTAAATATAGTAATTTTTTTATTAAAAAATAGTAATTTTTTACTAAAAAAGACATTTTTTGCTAAAAAAAAATAGTTTTTCAAGTTAAACAATATTGCAGTCAAATCAATATTAGATTACATTTTTTATATCACAAATATTTTTTATTAAACTAAAAAAAATCTATATAAAACGAAAATAATTACAAAATAATAATAATAATAAAGTAAAAATCAGGCAACGACTACCTGTTCTCTCTCTCCCTTCATTATTATTTTGTCTGGCAGCAGCAACAAAAACACAACAAAACACCAAAAGGCGGCATTTAACAACGACGGCAAACCAGCAACAACAAGAATAATCACAACGCAAACGAAGGCATTCAGTTGTAGCAAACACAAACGAAACGAAACAAAATTCATCAACCAAAACCGGCTAACAAAAATAACAACAACAAAAACAACAAGCCAATTGTATAGGAACTCGGTTTGTTTGATTGTTTGTTTCCCCCCGCGTGTGTGTACGTACATACATAGGTGTACATTACGATTGTTGTTGTTTTAGTTAATTTCCCTGAAGGAAATGTGGGGTGTTGTATCGCCTTTGTCTACTATTGTGGCGACATGTCTCCATATTTTCTACAACTTGTCTACATATCATGTAATAAGAAGAAGCATTTGTTATGTTAACAACCAACTGAGCATGGTTATGCTTCTTCTTTTTTTCTTTAATTATAAATATGTTGGCGGCAATAGACAGATATTTTATTAAAAACGCGAGTTTAAAGTTATTAATGGTAATAATTAAATTAATTAATTAATTGGTGAAAAAATTTTTGAGCAAAAGAAATTATAAAAAATTTACAAGTGACATATGTGACCTTTTGTCTATATATACAAACTATTGACTTACTACTGACCGTGTCCACATATGCGACGCTGTGTCTATATCTAAAAACTACTGACTTACTACTGACCAAGTCACTAGTTCATTTCCAATGACAAGCACATGTTAAATGTCAATAGTAAAATGCATTGTGTTGGGTATAGTCGGTCAACAGTATTGGTGACAATGTCAATAGTAAGTCAATACTGATTTACTGTAGACATTTCCTACAGGGTTGTTGTCGTCGTCATCATCATCGTCGTTGGTGTTATTTATGTGTGTGTGTCTAGTGTGGTGCAAGTTAAATAAATCAAGAAACAGAAATCAAATAGAAGAAGAACATCATCTATCAAAAAACAATAAGACCATTTCTTAATTATAAATAATAATTCATGTTCTATTCTGTTCTAAAAACATCAACATAATTGTACAGGTGTGTGTGTACGTGTGATCATCATTAATTTTATTTTTTTTTATTTCTGGTTTTTCTTCCTTTCAAAGTGTCTGCTTCTCCTTATTTTGTGAACAAACAAAGTTTTGTTTTGTCGTGTTGTTTGATTTGTGTCTCTCAAAGAAAAGAAAAACAAAAATAATCCCTCAGCCATCATTGATTGGCATCCATCTGTGTTTGATTTGAGAGAGAGTGTAAACAAATAAAAATGCAATTGCACCTGTTTTAACAAGACAATAACCCGCCACAAAATAAAAACAACAACAACACAGCATTTTAGAATTCTAACACACAAATGAAATAAAATTAAAAACAAAGAAAAAAGAAACAACAACCAGCAGCAGTCGCAGCAGCAATTAAAAACAGAAACCCCTTCATCTCCGAGAAAACAACAACAAAAAAATAAAAACGGTGGTTATTCATTCTCACACCAACCTGCTGTGTTCGTCTCACTCTCTCTATCTCTCGTGTGATTTGGCTCCTCGGCTCAACAACTCCTCATTGTGAATATCATCGGCTCAGTTTTTTTATGTCATCATTGCTGTTCTATGTGTTAATACCTTTTTGGAGAATAGGGTAGTTTTTCCGTCATCGTCGTTGTTGTTGTCATTATTGTAAAAGTGCAAGAAGCATAGCTGTCAAAAGTGCATCACCACAAACACCAACGCCGTTAACAAGGTTGCCAACTGTTGCTGAAGAAACCAGAAGGTAAGTTAATCAATGATTATTTGAAAGGCATTTTTATTTAATGAGATAAAAAATGTGAGAAAATAAAAGAAATAAATAGAAGGAAGTGTAGAAAATAAAGTGATAATAAAAATTAAAAACAATAAAAGAAAATACGTAAAAAAAATTTAATGAAATAACTATAAAGGTGTAGAATTTATAGGCTTGTGTTTTAAAAGCATTTTTTTATAAAGGATAAAGATTGTAAATTATAAGTGGCATTAAAACAAGAAAATAATAATTAAGATTTTAATAAATAAAAAGTACAATGATGATTTGTAGATAGTGAAACAAATATAAATAAAAAGTAATGAGAAATAAGATGATAATAAAACCAGTGAGCGAAGCAGTATAGTCGGACGGGGCCGACCATACGGTACCCTACACAACTACCACAGAACTCTGACTTTCTGCGGATTTTTATTACGAGACTGGGTAATATTTCGTGATAGTTGCACCCTCTTGCCCGATTAGAGGTCAACAGCACCTCTTCCTTCTTAATATTACCAATATTCAGTACAGCCCTTCTAATTACTAGTCCATATTCCCTTCATCATTGGTTGTATTGTGATGTTCGGCTTATTATTGGCATCGACTCGAAAAAAAAAACACAAAAAAAGAATTCGGTCCATTTCAATCTCAAACTATCCACTAAAAAATCTACTGTGTAACTTTTCACTTCCTGGACGCGAGAAGTCAATTTGGAACTTGATATTTCCATTGAAGGTAGGCGTATCGGCACCGTCCATAATCTGAAAATTCTTGGTATGGTCTTTGATAACCTCCTTCATTTCTTCTCGCCATTCCAACTACCTCAACCACAAGTGAAAACTAGAAGTAAGTTCGGAAAGCTTTGGCTATGGCACCTCCTGGGGCAATGATAAAGAAACATTGGCAACGACATACGTTCCATCCTTAAATATCTTGCTACAGTCTGGACATCTTTCCTTAGCGACACATAATAGAGATCTAGATGACGAGCGTCAATCACTTCCATGAGGAGACCAGGAGTCGAGTAACATAATGTGTGGTTGATTAGACAGTTCCTGCTGGCATGCTATCTGCCGTGTCATCCCAATCATCACACAGTGATTGCTTTTCCGCTTCCGCGACACATCCGCCAGGACTTTAGGCGCTATCGTGAAAGCATCCAAGACGTCAGTGCATAAACAAGCGGTCTCCGAAGCCATAAATGGTCACAGATGTAGAAAAGTTCTACTCCAACATCCTCCTGCAATTTCGGACAGTGAGAGGCTTCTTCCTAGTTGTCAATTCGTATCGAGACCGCATTGTCATTGTTCATTAACTCTAACGTGATTTTGGCCCTTCGAGCTGAGTATTTTTGGGAAAATAGTTCAAAATCGACCCAAAATTGATCTTTAGAAGTCTACTCGTCGCTATTACATTGATAATAACGTGTTTTTGGTCCTTCGAGGCGAGTCATTGTGGAAATACGATTTTTTGTGTGAATTTCTAAATTCGGTTGATTTTAATTGGTCCTTCGATTTGATTGAGAATACAGGTTTTCTAAATATAGAATATGAAGGAACAAATGTTCAAAATATTTTATTATTTTTCTAGGTCGATTTAATTCTACATAGAAGTCATGTGTTAGTCTTCATGAAGACCTTCTATCTATCTGTAATCTATCTATCATTGTTATGACATTTATCGAATATCCTCCATCTTAGTTGGTTCTTCGACTTAAAAACGTCGTATATTTGAAGTCAAAGGACCGAATGTACGCAACATAAATCATTACGTCTTATCATTAAAGTGGGAAAGGTCATTGACTAGAATAGATATGACAAGCTTATCTTTGGAATTCCCCTTCTGCAAAATTTTAATTATTGAAAAAGAAAACAGCAATGAAAATCTGTAAACGAAATCAATTAACCACGATAATAAACCTAATAACAACTCGATTATGTTGTCTGAGCAATTAACTGAGATAACTCCAATTGGTATACTTTTTTCTTAAACACCTTATAATAAGAATCGCAGTAATTGCCAAAAATTCTTTAGTTATTTGGAATCTACTCATCAAAGAAGTACGGAGACGGCTGTATAAAAAATTACTTAAAATGCTAACGGGAAGCCCACCAATCTGGATTGTTGCCTTTATGGCGATCTGTTTGTCACCATGGTTTTGTCAATTGATCTCCGCCGAATATTATGCCCAATGTGAGGGTAACGATAATCGTTATATAGCAAGTCCGGATAGTTGCTCGCGTTACATATTCTGTTATGGCCAAGAGTCCTTTGAAGGGGATTGTGATGAGGAGGCACCATATTTTTCGGAAATTGATCAGACATGCGATGTCAGTGAGGATGTTTGTAAAAAATTTGAAGGCACCGATAATGGTGAAGGTGATGAGGGAGATGGTGAAGGCGAAGGAACTGGAGAAGGAGAGGGAAATGGAAAAGGCGAGGGAGGAGAGGTGGTAAATCCCGGTAACCCCGAAATTGAACCAAGTAATCCAGAAATACCTCCCAATGTGGTAACATCAGCACCAGCTCCATCACCTTCAGTATCAAGCGTATCTTCTTCGGCCATAGTAACAACAACCGTAAAACCCTCTAGCATTAAACCAACCCAAAGTTCTGCTGTGCCAACTTCAAGTACTACCCCAAAACTCCCATCAATTGCCAGTTCCACAACTCAAGCTAGCATTACTGCCGTTAAATGTCCCGCAGAAGATGATCCACTGAATTTGGTTTTCCTACAACATCCTAAATCCTGTTCGGATTATTTTATGTGCTATCATGGTGAACCGATTGCTATGCATTGCTCACATTCACTGCATTTTGATGTTCGCACACGTAAATGTGATTATCCGGAAAATGTTAAGTGTCAGGTGGGTCTTTCAAGAAAAATTTACATTATTTTGTAATTGGAATAAATATTTCCTTCTTATATCCAGCTCCATTCAGTTTCACCACGTGAACAATGTCAAGACCATACCGTCGATGTTTTTCCCCATCCCACCAATTGTAATTATTATTACTTATGCCGCCTTGGGTATCTCATGGTGATGCAATGCCCTCCCAATATGGATTGGGATTATAATCGCAATGTTTGTGTTTTGCGTGGTCAAGCCACATGTTATTCGTCCACCAAACAGAGTAATAGTTGGAATTTCTTTTTAAATTGATTGTGGATTTGATGGAAAATCTAAAATACAAACAAAAAAGAAAAAATGTGTATGGTCGAAGGACCAAAAAAATGTTTTTAATAAAAGAAATAGCTCAAACGAAGGATCAGCATTTTCGTTAAGTTTATCTTTGGCGGAAAGTTTTTTCTTAAAATTTCTTCATCTGAAATAGAAACTTCCCTTTAAAATAGCTGTTTTGTCACAATGTTCCTAATCGAAGGACCAATTCTAATGAAAACAAATTCTGAAATAGACAAAAACTATTCGATCGAAGGACCAAACATTTTAGAAAATAATTTTTAATCCATATTTAAATTTTTGCATAATAAAAAATTCGCTTAACCGAAGGACCAACAAATTCGTGAAGCGTTTCTTTAGTGGAATATTTTTTTTCATTTTCTTCCCAAGAAAATTAAAACTTCACCCCAAAAGGCTTGTTTGCGTTACTAAATGCCTAATCGAAGGACCAATTCAAATGAGAGAAACTGAAAGAGAACCGGTCACTTTTTCGTCAGCCGTAGGAAATACTTCCCACGTGACTTCCGCTTCAAACGAAGGACCAAAATTTGGTTTTATTTAAGTGGTTCATCGAAGACCACTAACAAAATCTTGGTTCAAAGATGTTTAATAAAAAAACTACTTAATCGAAGGCCATCTTCGTTAAGCTTAGGGGTGGTAGATTTATTAATGTTATTCCGAATAATTCAGAACCTTCAAATAGTTGTTTGTGTAACGAAATGCCTAATCGAAGGACCAATACAAATAAGAAAAAGTGAAAGCCGTAGGAACCAGTTTCTTCATGATTTCCTCTTCAATCAATGGACCACTCTTGGACCCAAAATGATCTCTAATAGGTTTTATCTAAAAAAAATCGAACGCTCAATTTAAATGAGTATAAAACTCAAATTTTTTTGTCAGATGTAGGTGATATCCTCTTCAATCGAAGGACCAAAAGTTGGCTGTATTTATGTGTTCCTTCAAATACCTCTATAGTATTCTTGGTGCCAAAATTATCTCTAATATGTTTTTACCTATAAAAAACCAATCCTAATCGAAGAACCAATTCAAGTGAGAGAATGTGGAAGAGAACCGCCCTATTTTTTCGTCAGTCGTATGAAATACTTCCTACATGACTTCCTCTCAATCGAAGGACCAAACTTTCCTCAAATTTAAGTGTTTCATCAAAGACCTCTAAAAGATCCTTGGTCCCAAAATCACATTAAAAAATAAAGCAATGTGTGATGCATAATTTTAGGCTGTAAATAAAAGAACACCTGTTTGTGTTGGGAAAACGCTATTTTGATCGATTTTTTATTGAAAAATGTTCTTTGGATTAAAAAATGTAACTTGAATTCGATTCTGCAATTACAAAAGGGAATTTTATTTATTTTGGTGATTCAATTTTTTTTTCAAAATGTATTCATACGGAATTTCAAATTTAAATCCTTAATACACAACGCCATGGGTCGTACCTTACACTGACCACTTTCCACGTCGAAATAATGGAAGAAAGGACATTTCTGCAGTATAGCATGACCCTTAACGCAATAGATAAAGAAATCACAACGTTCCGTGTGAGGGAAAATATGATGACCATATAGGGGGCACATGGTTTCCTGTTCCAGCGGTAGTTCTCCTCCTGGGGCTGGTGATATTTGCATAGAGTTGGCATTACTAACCGCGGGAGGGATACAATTAACATTTGTGGGTAAATCACATTTTCCCATTTTGGGATTCCAATAGAGATTAGCACTACACTCTTGGACCAAGGCCTGACCATGATAGCACATAAAATACTGGTAGCAATTTTGAGGATTTGCAATGAAAACGAGGGAATTTGATTGCGATTCCTGGCCATATAAATCGAAGCAATAGCGATTGGCATTTGCCAGGACATCTTCGGCGTTAACGGAGGCTACAGGGGAGCTGGGTTGTTGGACAGAGGAACTACTTTGTTGGTTACTTCCCGGTTGACAATGCGGCACCTTTTCCGCCACATCACACAATTTCGTTTGAGGATTATAGAACATATTATAGGGACAGGAAGCCTCAATTAGTTCACCATCATCACCACAGAAATAGAAAAGTCTGCAATCCGAGGGATTTTCTACCAAATCGCCGACGGCATGATTGGCACAAAGATTGGAATTTTGACGTGAGATTTTCCTCTTCATCGTTAGGGCTTGAATCGGACACAATATGTAGCAAATTGCAATGAAGATATAAACTGCAAAGAATAGGAAATAAATATTAATTTGAATTTACTTCAATCACTAAAAATCTAAATCCTCACCCTTGTTAAACCCCATAGTGAGTTATTGTATTGAACTGATCGTCTTTCCGCTAATGTCTTTCACTTCAGCACGTTTAAACTTGATCTAAATTCATTGTGAAATATTATATACCCATGTATCCCTCTGCAATGTTTAAAAATTCGATAGAACGACCTCAATTTCCGCACCATGAAGAGATTATTTACATAGAATATGTCTATTATCTGATGCATGTGTGTATGTATTTTCTTTATCAAATATTCATTAAGTTCATTAACTAGATAAACTTCACCTTCGAATATATAAACAAATATCAATTATTCCAGATTTTGGGCATGTTCAAACTCATTCTGACATTGAAGAAGAATGCGAACAAATATCTTCAGAAGTTCTGAAGATACTCGTAATTAAATTGCAGTAAAATTCCACAGAATGTGTTTAAGTACTGGAAAAGTTGATATCAAATTGGTCCTTCGATCTGTTATTCGAGGAAAATCCGTGATCTTTTTTGTACAGATCATGAATTGGTCCTTCGAGACGCTGTGAAACGTTTATGGTGCCAAAATTCATTAAAATGTTGCCGTGCAATTTGTCTTTCGATCGGTTATTCGCGAACGTTTTGATCTACTAAACTAAGGTCCTTCGAGTCGAGTCATTGCCAACCTCTGTGAAAATTTACAATTCAATTGGTCCTTCGATCTATTTTCCAGAGACCATGTAAAGTATATTGAGCTTCGCAATTGGATATTTGGTCCTTCGAGCCAATTCAATTGTTTCCAATATTAATATTTTAGAGAACATTTATTTCTTTATTTCTATTAAATAATATCTAACATCGATATTGCAAATTTGGTCCTTCGATTCAATGGGTTTGCAGTCAACAAACCGAAAGCAAACAATTTTATTGAGGCCACAAACTGAATGGCTAGACGCCATCACTACCACAATAGTTTTATTTCAAGCTTTGCTCTTTATTTCTGTGAAACAGATTTTGTTACAATTTCGATTTGCTGTTCACCATAAAAGTCATACCTCTCTGCTACCCTGCGCTTCCATTCATATGTCGTTAAATGTGCTTTTGGTGGAAACCTGATGATGATAAGCCATTGCCAGCCAACCAATCTAGCCATCAAGCAACCAACTATGCCAACCAACCAACCAGTCAAGCAGTTAGTAGGTACCACTCGGAGATATCGTTCACAATTTGAATGGTGCAAAAAAAAAATTGCAAATGTTGGCAGAAAATATGCAAAAAAAAAGAGAGAAACATAGAAGAAACAGCAACGAAGAAAATGTCAACAAAAAGGAGCAGTAATAAGAAATGGGTTTTGATGATTTACCTGTGATGATTTTTATGTTCGACGAGTTATTTTGGGTTTCAGGAAATTTTTTCTGTGGATATTTGCAAAGAGGAAAATATTTGATTTGTTCTTTAACACAGAATGAAATTTTTTAATACTTTTTGTGAATTTTGAACTTAGAAATTTGAAAAAAAGCGATTATATGTATTTTGGTCCTTCGAGCCAAAGCATATACCGGTAATTCTATGTTGGCTAACTGAAGTAGTGTTTTAGGAAACTTTTGATGGATTTTTATGAAAAACACAAATTGTTCCTTCGGTCCTTCCTTTTGGTCCTTCGAGCATAAGAATATTCCGAAATTTGTCTCAGGTCACATGCGTTCAGTTTTATAGAATATAATTTCAAGCAACGAAAGAAAAGTGGAAATTTTTGTGATTTTTTTAGCCTAGGAATTTAAAACGAACGATAATATGAATTTTGGTCCTTCGAGCCATTGGCAAAACAAGGTTTTGTTAAAAAATATTTTTTTTTAAGTCCAAGCAAGGCGTGGATTTATTTAAAAAATAATTGGTCCTTCGAGGTAAAGAATATTCATCTAGGAAGGCATGAGTTTATTGAAAAATATTTGGTTCTTCGAGCAAAAAATTATTCTCCTTTCAATGCGTGCATTTCTTTTAACAAATATTTGTCCTTTGAGCAAAAGAATATTCTCCTAGTAAGGAGTGGATTTATTGAAATATTTTTGGTCCTTCGAGCGAAAAAATATTTACCTAGCAAGCGGTGAGTTTATTAAGAAATATTTGGTTCTTCGATATTCTATCAAGGCGTGAATTTATTAACAAATATTGGTCCTTCGAGCAAGGTGTAGATTTATTTAAACCATTATTCGGTCCTTCGGGCAGAAGAGAAGTCTTCTAGCATGGCGTATTATTAAAAAAATATTTGGTCCTTCGAGCAAAAGAATATTCCCCTAGCAAGGCGTAGATTTATTTAAACAATTATTTGGTCCTTCGAGCAAAAGAATATTCTCCTAGCAAGGCGTAGACTTATTACAAACAATATTTTGTCATTCGAGATAAAGAATATTCTCCTAGCAAGGCGTAAACTTATTAAAAAAAATATTGGTCCTTCGAGCAAAAGAATATTCTCCTAGCAAGGCGTAGACTTATTACAAACAATATTTTGTCCTTCGAGCTACAGAATATTCTCCTAGCAAGGCGTAGACTTATTACAAACAATTATTTGGTCCTTCGAGCAAAACAATATTCTCCTAGCAAGGCGTAGACTTATTAAAAACAATATTTGGTCCTTCGAACTAAAGAATATTCTCCCAGCAAGGCATAGACTTATTAAAAACAATATTTGGTCTTTCGAGCAAAAGAATTTCCTCCTAGCAATGCCTGTATCTGTCAAAAAAGATATTTATTCCTTCGAGCAAAATAATATTCTCCAAGCAAGGCAAGGTTTTATTAAAATATTTTTGTTCCTTCGAACAAAGGAATATTCTGAAGATCGGTTGAAAAATATTTTTCGGTTGAAGAATATTTTATTCAAAAATATTTTTTCAAAGGCCCAACAAGGCGTGGATTTATTTTAAAAATTTTTGGTCCTTCAAGCAAATGAATAGCGTGGATTTATTTTAAAAAATAAGTGGTCTTCAAACAAAAGAACAGCGTTTTTTTTTGAAAAATATTTGGTCCTTCGAACAAAAGAGCAGCGTCGATTTATTTTTAAAATATTTGGTCCTTCGAGCAGACGAATAACGTGAGTTTATTTTACAAAATATTTGGTCCTTTGAGCAAGAAAATATCGTGCATTTATTTTGAAAATATTTTTTTCAAGTATCCGCAAGACTTGTGGTTTTTTAAAAAATATTTCTTGTGTCATAACAAGAAGGTGAATTTTAAATATATATATTTATTCAGGGGCTTGAAAAAACATATATTTGTCAGAAATCTCCAACTAATTAATCATATTTTCTGTACTATAAAAAAGCCCATTCCGATATTTTATAGAACATGTCATTGTGGTTTTGCAGTTGAGACATAGACAATGCATCACGTATTTTTAGATTCATTAATTTTTTTTTGTATTCACAAGCAATGCAAATAATCCTCAACCTACTGAAAAAAAACAAACGTGTTAAATTTCAAAATAAACTCGAACACAAAAACAATAATTAATGAACTTGAGAATGGCCAGACAACTGAAAAAACTGTGCACACAAAATTTGACAACAGGTAAAAACCGGATAGAAGGCCAACAAACCTTCGAGACAGCGAGAGAGGAGGATACTGGTAAGTTGATACACAAAACCCATGAAAAAAGGAAGGACTGCACTTCCTGTTTGCTGTTGGATAGTGGCGGTCAGACAGGCAGATAGACAGTGACGAAAGGCCAGCGCACATGTGCGTGGGTAATTGTCAGCCTTGAATACATAATGGGCTCTTTGTGTAATCCTTCTCGGGCAAATGCAGCCACACAAAGGACATGTGTGTGTCCCTTTTGATGATGATGACTGTTATGAAAGTGTCGCTCATTATGATGAGACCGTTATGTTTGTGCAGTTTTTTTTTCAGGCGAACCAATGTGTAAACATGTGTTTCCACTTTGCTTTGCAGATTTCCTCGCTGTGACCCACTTGAAACTAAGGGTCCTTGCACAGAAAATGCCGCCAGCGGGTTTTTCTTTTTTATTTTAGCTGCAAAATTTTCTTCTTAGTTTTCCGCAGTTTCTTATGTCTCACAAAAAACTTCTGTAATTGAAGGGAAAAATACCAACAACTGAAAACGAAATATCATCTACCAACTAACTAACAGAACAATACCCAAACAATGTGAAAATAAAAAAAAAATACAAAACTACCTTTAATCGTCAGTTTCGTATCTAAGTCAAGGTAAAAGACCCAATTTTCGACATGTATTCCAAAATCATTCACATTGAAGTTGGCAAAAACACAATAACACAAGTATTCTTGACAAAAAAACTACACGAATTTTTTTTGTGATAATGACATAATCAGTAGTTCGGTTTCTGAAGTGTTAAATTGAAGTAAATTACAGAGGAGACGATGATTATTCAATGGGAAACAAATACCAAAAAAAATGTTTTGGGAAGCTTCAAGGTTAGAAGATCATGAAATCTTTAAATGAAACAGCAAAAAAAAAAAAAAAAAAATAGTTATGGGAAATTAGATTTCATATACTTTTTAATAAATCCACGCCTTACTGTTAGGCCGTTGAAAAAATATTATTTAAATAAATCCGCGCCTTGTGGCAACTTAAAAAAATATTTTTCAATAAATCCACGGCTTGTTGGGCCTTTCAAAAAATATTTGTTAATAAATACACACCCAGGAGACTAGGAGAATATTCGTTTGCGCGAAGGACCAAATATTTGTTTAATCTACGCCTTGCTGGAAAAAATTTTTCTTCTGCTCGAAGGACCAAATGTTTTATTATAAATCAACGCCTTGCTGGGAGAAAATTCTTCTGCTCGAGGGACCAAATATTTGTTTAAATACATCTACGCCTTGCTGGGAGAAAATTCTACTGCTCGAAGGACCAAATATTTGTTTAAATAAATCTACGCCTTTCTGGGAGAAAATTCTACTGCTCGAAGGACCAAATATTTGTTTAAATAAATCTACGCCTTGCTGGGAGAAAAATTCTTCTGCTCGAAGGACCAAATATTTGTTTAAATAAATCTACGCCTTGCTGGGAGAAAATTCTTCTG